AAATGGGAATGGGGATCGGGGATGGGAATGGGAAATGGGAGTGGGATTGGGAATGGACTGGGAATGGGAGTGGGAATGGGAAAGGGAATGGGATTGGTATTGGGAATGGGAAAGGGAGTGGGAGTGGGATTAGGAATTGGAGTGGGAATGGGAACGGGAACAGAAATGGGATTGGGAATGGGAAAGGGAGTGGGATTGGGAATGGGAATTGAGTGGGAATGGGATTGGGATGGGAACGGGAACAGAAATGGGATTGGGAATGGGAGAGGGAATAGGAGTGGGAATGGGAATGGGAGTGGGATTGGGAATGGGAATTGGAGTGGGAATGAGAAAGGGAATGGGAATGAGGATGGAAATAGGAATGAACAGGTCCTGGGAGATCCCTGCCCGGGGCTGCATTCCCTGCTGGCATTACAGGGGCACTGCCCCGGGCGGATTTGGGATTTATCCCTGTGCCCCCAGGGCTGCCAGGCAGGGCAAAATCCCAAAATCGGCTCCGCAGCCTCTCCACGGGGTCCCTCGGTGTTCCCAGAGCAAATCCAGCTTTGGGATAAGCCTGTTAATTAATTAGGGAGCCTCGTTAGCCCTGCCCCCCCCAGCTCCTTCCCGGGACAGGGCTCTGTCCCCATTGCCAGGGCCCCGAGGGGTGGGGGGACCCCGGGCAGGTTTGGGGGTCCCCAGAGCTGGGGAAGGGGCTGGCGCAGGTCCCTGTTAACCCCGTTGTGCCATTGTCCCGTTATCCCATTGTCCCATTATCCATCCCCACGATCCCTGTTAACCCCATTGTCCCCATTGTCCCTGTTATCCATCTCCATGATCCCTGTTATCCCCATTGTCCCCATTGTCCCTGTTATCCATCCCCATGATCCCTGTTAACCCCATTGTCCCCATTGTCCCTGTTATCCATCTCCATGATCCCTGTTATCCCCATTGTCCCCATTGTCCCTGTTATCCATCCCCATGATCCTGTTAACCCCATTGTCCCCATTGTCCCTGTTATCCATCTCCATTGTCCCCACTGTCCCCATTATCCCTCCTCATTATTCCTGTTAACCCCATTTTAATGGGGTTAATTGTCCCCATTATCCGTCCCTGTTGTCCCCATTGTCCCCATTACCCATCCCCATTGTCCCACTGTCCCTGTTATCCATCCCCATTGTCCCTTTTAATCCCATTGTCCCCATTATCCATCCCATTGTCCCTGCTATCCATTCCCATTGTCCCCATTATCCATCCCCACTATCCCAATTGTCCCATTGTCCCCATTATCCATCCATTGTCCCCATTATCCCATTGTCCCCGTTATCCCATTGTCCCCATTATCCATCCCATTGTCCCCATTTTCCATCCTTGTTAACCCCATTGTCCCCATTATCCCATTGTCCCCGTTATCCATTCCCATTGTCTCCATTATCCCATTGTCCCCATTTTCCATCCCCATTATTCCTGTTAACTCCATTTTATTGGGGTTTATTGTCCCATTGTCCCCATTCTCCCTGTTATCCATCCCTGTCCCTCTGTCCCCTCCGTCCCACTGTCCCTCTGTCCCTTCTGTCTCTCTGTCCCCCCTGTCCCTCTGTCCCCTCCATCCTCCCTGTCCCCTTTGTCCCCCGGTACCCCTGTCCCTCTGTCCTCTCCGTCTCTCCGTCCCTTCTGTGCCTCTGTCCCTGCTGTCCCTCTGTCCCTGTTGTCCCCCCTGTCCGTCTGTCCCTGTTGTCCCTGCTGTCCCCCTGTCCCGCGCGCAGTTCAGAGCCTGGACTGGGAGACCTTTGAGCAGTACTGCACCTGGCAGCTGTTCCTGGCCCACAACATCCCCCTGGAGACCATCATCCCCATCCTGCAGCACCTCAAGTACAAGGGTGAGCTGGGGACACCTTGGGGACACCCTGGGGACAGCTGGGGACAGCTGGGGACACATTCTGGGGGGACATTGCCATGGGGGACATTCACATAGGGGACATTGCTGTCCCACAACATCCCCCTGGAGACCATCGTGCCCGTCCTGCAGCACCTCCGGTACAAGGGTGAGCTGGGGACACCCTGGGGACACCTTGGGGACGTTTTTTGGGGACGTTCCCATGGGTCATTCCCAGGGACATCCTGGGGACATTCCCAGGGGTCATTCCCATGGGGGGGACGTTTCTGGGGACACATTTTGGGGACATTCCTGGGGATATTCCCATGGGGGACATTCCTGGGGACATTTTTTGGGGACATTCCTGGGGACGTATTTTTGGGGACATTGCTGGGGACATCCCCATGGGGGACATTGCCACCCTCGTTCCTCTCTCAGAGCACCCCGAGGCCCTGTCCTGCCTCCTGCTGCAGCTGCGCAGGGAAAAGTGAGTCTGGGGGGGACACTGAGGGGATTTGGGGACACCGAGGGGATTTGGGGGGCACTAAAGGGATTTGGGGACGCTGAGGGGATTTGGCGACACTGAGATGGGGACACTGAAGGGATTTGGGTGACACTGAGGGGATTTGGGGGGCACTGAGGGGATTTGGGGACACTGAGGGGATTTGGGGACACCGAGGGGATTTGGGGGACACTGAGGGGATTTGGGGACACTGAGACGGGGACACTGAAGGGATTTGGGTGACACTGAGGGGATTTGGGGACACTGAGTGAACCGGGGGACACTGAGGGGTTCCAAGGGACACTGAGGGGATTTGGGGACACTAAAGGGGGAACACTGAGGGGATTTGGGGCATTGAGAAGTTCCAGGAGACACCAAGGGGATTTGGGGACACTGAGGGGATTTGGGGGGCACTAAAGGGATTTGGGGAACCTGGGGGGGGGTCTCCTGGGACTCTGGGGGTTCTCCTGGTGCTCCAGGTGTGTCCCCCACCGCCGTTTGTGCAGGCCCAGCGAGGAGATGGTGAAGATGGTGCTGAGCCGGCCGTGCCACCCCGAGGACCAGTTCACCACCAGCATCCTGCGGCACTGGGGGCTGCGGCACGACGACCTGCTGGGCGAGCACATCAAGGCCCTGCTGATCAAAAACAACAGCCTGCCCCGGAAAAGACAGAGGTCTGGGGGTTCTGACCCTGCAAATTCCCTTCCCAAAGAATCGGGGGGCTGTTTGTCCCCTGCCCCGCAAACGGCACAGGTCTGGGGCTCCTGGGACTGGGAATCCATTCCTAAAGAATTGGGGTGGTTTTTGTCCCCTGCCCCGCAAACGGCACAGGTCTGGGGGTCCTGGGAATGGGAATCCATTCCTAAAGAATTGGGGGGGGTGTTGTCCACTGTACCCCATTCCCACAGAATTCCCTCCCTAAAGAATTGGGGTGGTTTTTTATCACCTTTACCACATTCCCACCCTGAGGATTTGGGGTTTTTTTTTCCTCCCTTGCCCCAGAAATGACAGAGGTCTGGGGGTCCTGGGACTGGGGGTTCCCTCCCTGAAGAATTGGGGGGGGGGGGGTTTGTCCCCTGTACCCCATTCCCACAGAATTCCCACCCTAAAGAATTGGTTTTTCTTCCCTGCCCCCCAAAAAAGATACAGGTCTGGGGGTCCTGGAAATGGGAATCCCTTCCTAAAGAATTGGGGTGGTTTTTGTTCCCTGCCCCGCAAACGGCACAGGTCTGGGGGTCCTGGGACTGGGGGTTCCCTTCCTAAGGAATTGGGGTGTTTTTTCTCCTTTCTACCCATTCCCACAGAATTCTCACCCTAAGGAATTGGGGTGGTTTTTCTTCCTTGCACCCCATTCCCGCAGAATTCTCTCCCCAAAGAATTGGGGTGGTTTTTTATCACCTTTACCACATTCCCACCCTGAGGATTTGGGGTTTTTTTTTCCTCCCTTGCCCCAGAAATGACAGAGGTCTGGGGGTCCTGGACTGGGGGTTCCCTCCCTGAAGAATTGGGGGGGGGGGGGGGTTTGTCCCCTGTACCCCATTCCCACAGAATTCCCACCCTAAAGAATTGGTTTTTCTTCCCTGCCCCCCAAAAAAGACACAGGTCTGGGGGTTCCCCCATGGGAATTCCCTCCCTAAAGAACTGGGGTGGTTTATCTCACCTGTACCCCGTTCCCTCCCTAAGGAATTGGGGTGGTTTTTATCACCTGCACCCCATTCCCGCAGAACTCTCTCCCCAAAGAATTGGGGTGGTTTTTTATCACCTTTACCACATTCCCACCCTGAGGATTTGGGTTTTTTTTTTTTTTTCCTCCCCTGCCCCAGAGGTCTGGGGGTTCTGGGGGTCCTGGAACTGGGAATTCCCTCCCTGAGGAGTTGGGGAGTTTTATCACCTGCACCCCGTTCCCACAGAATTCCCACCCTGAGGAATTTCAGGTTTTTCTCCCCTGCCTCAAAAGTGCCACAGGTCTGGAATCTGTCCCTGAAATTACAAATGGTGATGGAGAGGCCAAAAATGGGGAGGAGACCCCCATTTTTGGCCTCTCCACCACCATTTGTAATTTCTCACCCCGTTTTTTGGTGTCTCCTCCCCATTTTTTAGTTTCTCGCCCCCATTTTTTTAATTTCCCGCCCCATTTTTTTTAATTTCTCACCCCGTTTTCCTGCCCTCCTCTCCCGCAGCCTCCGCAGCTCCAGCAGCAAACTGGCCCAGCTCACCCTGGAGCAGATCCTGGAGCACCTGGACAACCTCAGGCTCAACCTCACCAACACCAAGCACAACTGTGGGTCCCTCCCCACCCCCTGCTCCGTCCCATTCGGGTCTGGGGTCCCTCCCTGCCCTGACCCTCCCCATTTATTTCCCCCTTCAGTTTCAGCCAGACCCCGATCCTGCAGGCGCTGCAGCACGTCCAGGCCAGCTGCGACGAAGCTCACAAAATGAAGTGAGACCCCCCCCCCCCCTCTCCCCACGCATTTCCCTCCCCTCCCGGAGACCCCAGACCCCCCTGAGCCCCCCTGGTGCCCCCCCCAGGTTCTCGGATCTCTTCTCCCTGGCCGAGGAATACGAGGATTCCTCCAGCAAACCGCCCAAGAGCCGCCGCAAGGCCGCGGCCCTGGCCAGCCCCCGCAGCCGCAAGAACGCGGCGCAGCCCCAGAACAACGAGGAGGAGTCCGGCTCCAGCAGCGCCTCGGTGAGACCCCCGCCCTCCCCGAGACCCCCCCGGGACCCTCGAGGGGTCCCCAAATCCCGTGTGACCCCCCCCTCCCCCACACACACACCCCACCGTGTCCCTGCAGGAGGAGGAGGACGCCAAACCCAAACCGGCCAAGAGGAAAAGGAAAGGTTCCTCTGCTGTGGGGTCTGACAGTGACTGAGGGGTGGGACCCCCCGCCCTCTCCGGGACCCCTCCCCACCATGGGGACCCCCCCCTTCCAGGACCCCCCTTTCCATGGGGAACCCCCCAGGACCCCCCAAACCGGTGCCAGCAAATCCCCAAGCTTGGGGTCCCCGTCATTCCCTTCACCCCCTTTTCACCACATGGGGAGGGGTCTCTGCCCCCCACCCCAGGACCCCCCCAGTGTGGGTGGGGTCCCCCCAAGGGGACAAAGGGGGGAGCCCCCAGCCCCCATTTTCCTCCAGAGCTGTAAATAAAGGGTGGAACCGAGTGGCTGCTCCAGGATGATTTGGGGAGGGGGAGTTGGGGGGTCCTGGGGGGGTGGAGAGGGGCAGGAGAATTTGGGGAGGGGTCCTGCCCCCGCCCCCCCCCCCCCCCCCAATGAGCGTTTTTAAGTGTTTTTAAGAAAAGCAGCAATAAAAACTTTCCTGTTTTGTATTGAATGGACCCAATTTGTGATATGGGGGGGGTGGTGACAGCCCCGGGATGGTGACAGTGCCAACCCCATGGTGGCACTGCCAGCCCCCCCTGGTGACACTGCCAACCCCCATGGTGGCACTGCCAACACCCTGCCCCCCCCGATGGTGACACTGCCATTTCCCCCCCCACGATGGTGGCACTGCCAAACCCCCTCCATGGTGACACTGCCAACACCCCCCCCCCCCCCCCCGTGATGGTGACAGTGCCAACCCCCCCCGGTGGCACTGCCACCTCCCCCTTGGTGACACTGCCAACCCCCCCCAGGACAGGGGGAATCTGGGACACAGAGGGAGCAGGGAGGCCCCGGAAGGGGACAGGGGAGGGGACAGAAGGACCAGGGAGGGGACAATGGGGGGACAGGGAGGGGACAGAGGGGACAGGGGAGGTGGCAATGAGGAGGTGACGATGGGGAGGGGACGATGGGGAAAATGGGGACAGAAGGGACAGGGGAGGGGACAATGGGGGGGACAGAGGGGAGGGGACAAGGGACAATGGGGGGGTGAGAATGGGGAGGGAACAGTGGGGGAAATGGGGAGGGGACAGAAGGGAGAGGGGAGGCGACAATCGGGACAATGGGGAGGGGACAGAGGGGACAATGGGGAGGGGATAATGAGGAGGGGACAGGGGAGGGGACAGAGGTGACACGGGGGGGGAGGGGCTTGGCAGAGGGGTCGCGAATGGGGGGGTGGGCTCCGAGTGGGCGTGTCCAAAGCGGGCGCGGTCGGTGGGCGCGGCCAAGGTGGGCGTGGCCAAACTGGGCGTGTCCTCCCCGCCCCCGAGGCGGGCGCGGGCGATGGCGCTGGCGGCGGCTCTGGGGGCGCTGCTGGGGGCGCTGGGGCTGGGGGCGCTCCTGGGGACCCCCGGCCCCGCTCTGGGGGCGCTGCTGGGGGCGCTGGGGCTGGGGGCGCTCCTGGGGACCCCCGGCCCCGCTCTGGGGGCGCTGCTGGGGGCGCTGGGGCTGGGGGCGCTCCTGGGGACCCCCGGCCCCGCTCTGGGGGCGCTGCTGGGGGCGCTGGGGCTGGGGGCGCTCCTGGGGACCCCCGGCCCCGCTCTGGGGGCGCTGGGGGCCGCTCTGGGGGTGCTGGGGGCGCTGCAGCGGCTCCTCCGGCCGCACCTCTGGGCCGATCTCTCGTTCGCGCTGCGGGCGCTGCGGGTGCGGCGGCGGGCGCGGCGCGGCCCCGGGGGCTCCGTGGTGTCCCGGTTCCTGCGGGCGGCCCGGGAGGCTCCGGCGCGGCCGTTCCTGCGGTTCCGGGGCCGAGCGGAGCCGCTGGGCAGCGCGGCGCGGAGCGTGGCCAGGGTGGCGAACGCGCTGCGGGCGCTGCGGGCCCCGCCGAGGCCCGGCGACACCGTGGGGCTGCTGGTCGGTAACGAGCCCCGGTTCGTGTGGGCATGGTTCGGGCTGGCGGCGCTCGGAGCCCGCCCGGCCTTCCTGGGAACGGCGCTGAGACCGGCGGGGCTCCGGCACTGCCTGAGGGGCTGCGGGGCCACGGCGCTGCTGGTGGCGGATGGTGAGAAACGGGGGAGAACGGGGGATAACGGGGGACAGCGGGAGGGGAGTAGGGAACGTGGGGAAAATGGCCCCGGAGGAAGCGGGGGGACCGGGAGGGAGAGGGGGAAAGGCACCGGGAAAGCCGGGGAGACTGGGGGATAACCGGGGGACACCGGGAGGACACCGGGAGGGGAGTGGGGAACGTGGGGAAAAGGGCCCGGAGGAAGCGGCGGGACCGGGAGGGGACCGAGGAATGGAAGGGGAAAGGCACAGGGGGGACTGGGGAATAACGGGGTGACACCGGGGGGATACCGGGAGAGAAGCGGGGAACGTGCGGGAAAAGGAGCGAGAGGAAGCGGGGGGGATACCGAGGGGACCGGGGGATGGAGGGGGAAAGGCACCGGGGGATAACGGGGGGACACTGAGGGGATAACGGGGGGACCGGGGAATGCAGAGATCCCGGGGTATAACGGGGACAGAGCGGGGATACCGGGGGATGAGAGGGCGGGGAACCGGAGCGGGACCAGTGGAGTAAAGAACGGGGACGAAGGGAACGAGGAGTGGGTGGCACTTTGGGCACCGGGGGTGGCACCGGGGATGGGCTGGTGGCACCGGGAGTGGTCGATGGTGGCACCGGGAAGGGGTGAGTGGCACCGGGGATGGGCTGGTGGCCCCAGGGATGAGCTGATGGCACCACGGCTCGATGGTGGCACCGGGGATTGATGAGCTGGTGGCACCAGGGATGGCACTGGGGATGGGCTGGTGGCACCGAGGATGGGATGATGGCACCGGGAATGGGGTGGTGGCACCGGGGATGGGCTGATGGCCCTGGGGATGCGCTGGTGGCACCGGGGGTGAACTGGTGGCACTGGGGATGGCACTGGGGATGGGATGGTGGCACTGGGGATGGGGCTGATGGCACCGGAGGTGGCGCTGAGGATGGGCTGGTGGCACCGGGGATGGGGTAATGACACCAGGGATGGACTGGTGGCACCGGGAATGGGGTGATGGCACCGGGGATGGCACCGGGGCTTGGCTGGTGGCACCGCGGATGGAGCAGTGCCCCCGGTGCCCCCCGCGCTGCCCCCACACCCTCCCGTTGCCCCCAGACCTGTTGGGCTCGGTGGCGCCGCTGCTGCCCGCCCTGCGGGAGGACGGGGTCGCCGTGTGGGTGCTCGGGCCGGGGCCGTGCCCCGAGGGCGCCCTGGCCCTGCAGGAGCTGCTGGACGCGGCCTCGGAGCAGCTGCGGCCCGAGGAGCTGCGGGAGCCCGAGGACATGAACGAGACGTGCCTGTACATCTTCACCTCGGGCACCACCGGTACCGGGCATTCCGAGTGTTTATCGGATTTGTACCGAATTGGCACCGGGGGTGGGATGATGGCACCGGGAATGGGGTGGTGGCACCGGGGATGCGCTGGTGACACTGGGGATGGGATGGTGGCACCGGGAATGGCGCCGGGGATAGGCTGGTGGCATCGGGGATGGCGCCGGGGATAGGCTGGTGGCACCGGGAATGGGGTGGTGACCCCGGGGATGGCACCGGGAGTGAGGTGATGGCACCGGGGGTAGGGGTGGTGGCACCAGGAATGGGATGATGGCACCGGGGATGGCACTGGGGATGAGGTGGTGGCACTGGGAATGGGGTGGTGGCACCGGGGACGGAGCGGTGGCACCAGGGGTTGATGGTGGCACTGAGGATGGGCTGATGGCACTGAGTGTTGGTGGTGGCCCCGGGGATGGGGTCGTGGCACCGGGGACGGGCTGGTGGCACCGAGGGTCGATGGTGACCCCAAGGATGGCACCGGGGATGGGGTGGTGGCACCGGGGATGGAGCGGTGGCACCAGGGGTCAATGGTGGCACTGAGGGTGGAGTGGTGTCACCGGGAGTGAGGTGATGGCACCGGGGATGGCACCGGGGATGGGGTGGTGGCACCGGGGTAGGCTGGTGACCCCAGGGATGGGCTGGTGACCCCAGGGATGGGCTGGTGGCACCGAGCGTGGCACCGAGGTTGGACTGGTGGCGCCAGCGATGGCGCGGTGGCACCGGGGATGGGCTTTATAAAACTTGTATAAAATTTTATCGATTTTTATACCGTTTTATTTTAAAAATTCAATTATTTCCCCCCCCGGCAGGGCTCCCCAAGGCCGCCCGCGTGTCCCACCTCAAGGCCGTCATGTGCCTGAGCTTCTACGAGCTGGTGGGAGCGTCCGGCAGGGACGTGGTGTACCTGGCACTGCCCCTCTACCACATGGCAGGGGCCCTGCTGGGCATCGTGGGCTGCCTGGGCATCGGTCAGCGGGCACCGGGGGTGGTTTGGGGGTGTTTTTGGGGTGTTTTTGGGGTGTTTTTGGGGTCCTGCTGGGCATCGTGGGCTGCCTGGGCATCGGTCAGCGGGCACCGGGGGGCACCGGGGGGGCACAGGGGGGTTTTTTTGGGTGTTTGGGGGTGGTTTTGGGGATATTTTGGGGGTGTTTTGGGGGTCCTTGCTGGGCATCGTGGGCTGCCTGGGCATCAGTAAGCGGGCACAGGGCACGGGGAGGGCACTGGGGGTGTTTTGGGGGTGTTTTAGGGATGTTTTGGGGTGTTTTGGTTGTGGTTTTGGGGTGTTTTGGGGGTGTTTTTGGGGTGTTTTGGGGGGGATGTTTTGGGGTGTTTTGGGGATGTTTTTGGGAACGTTTTTGGGGGTGTTTTGGGGATGTTTTGGGGGTGTTTTTGGGATGGTTTTGGGGATGCTTTAGGGGTGTTTGGGGGATGTTTTGGGGATATTTTGGAGGTGTTTTTGACGTGTTTTGGGGGGTGTTTTGGGGGGGATGTTTTGGAAATATTTTGGGGGTGTTTTTGGGGATGTTTTGGGGGATATTTTGGGGTGTTTTTGGGGGTGTTTGGGGATGTTTTGAGAATGTTTCTGGGGGTGTTTTGGGGATATTTTGGGGATGTTTTTGGGGATGTTTTGGGGTGTTTTTTGGTGTGTTTGGGGGTGTTTTTGGGATGTTTGGGGGATGTTTTGAGGATGT